GCCACACCTCAACCCACGACAGATTCGTTGGCTCGACTTCCTTGAGTCAAATTTTCACTACACGGTCACCTACAAAAAGGGAGCCTCGAACATCGCCGACGCACTGACCCCCCCCACTGCCCCACACAATACTACTCGCCCAAACAAGCCCACTACTGAGAGGCCTATTTACCCACGGGTACCAAACGGACCCACTCTTCACAGGAGGAAATTCGCAGCAGTTCGCAGCAGCAAGGGGAGTCTGTTACGTAAAATCCGGGACTGACTGCATTTGGGTGCCTGGGTATACACTGCTACGGGAATTACTGTTACAGGAGGCACATGACGGAGTTGCCTCGGGGCATTTCGAAGTAGAAAAGACACGACACCAGCTGCAGCGGTATTATTACTGGCCCGAAATGTTGACCGACGTACAACGACACGTGGCATCGTGTCCCACTTGCCAGCTCATGAAGTCATCAAGGCAGCGGCTGGCAGGAAAGTTGCAGCCGATACCACCCCCAGAGCGTGCTTGGCAGCAGGTGACGATGGATTTCGTCACGGGGTTACCGGCCGGGGTGAGTGGGAACGACGCGATCCTGGTCGTCGTCGATCGACTGGCGAAAATGGCACATTTCGCAGCCTGCAAGAAATCTATCACAGCCAAAGAAACAACCCGCCTCTTCATCGCTACCGTCGTACGCCTGCACGGGATACCAGCAGCGATCATCAGCGACCGAGACACGAAATTCACCAGCAACTTCTGGCGGAACATGTGGCAGCAGTTTGACAGGCGACTACAGTTCAGCTCTTTGTACCACCCCGAAACCGACGGACAGACAGAACGGACAAATCAGACCATGGAACAGCTCATCAGGGCCACGTGCGACGACCCGACCACGTGGGAACAGCAACTGCCACTCATCGAATTCGCGTACAACAAATCGCCATCCGCCACAACCCAACAGTCACTATTTTACCTAAACTACGGACAAGACCTGACAGTACCCATGACCCTGAATCCCGACAACCCAGTGCCACGAGCACAACTGTTCACCGAAATATTTCAAGCAGCACGGACTCGGGCAGCAGATGTCAGAGGTCCACTGGAGATCCCCGATTGATCCTAGGAAGGGTTACAGGCACGTTGGCCTGGGGGGTTATGGGTGCACTGACCCGCTACTTAACAAGCCCTTTTATCCCAGTGGTTAGTGGCTGGGATTCTGACATGGTATCAGAGCGAAGGTCTCGGGTTCGAATCCCAGTGTGTGCACTTCGGGCATCCCAGTGCGGGGGGGTGTCAGAGGTCCACTGGAGATCCCCGATTGATCCTAGGAAGGGTTACAGACACATTGGCCTGGGGGGTTATGGGCGCACTGACCCGCTACTTAACAAGCCCTTTTATCCCAATGGTCTAGTGGTTGGGATTCTGACAGCAGATGCAATAAAAAAAATCCAACATCATCGCTAAACGTAACGCCAACCGCCACCGCAGACCTATCACTTACCAGCCCGACGACCTGGTTTTACTTGACACCCAGTACCTCCGCCTGCCCATCACCCCAAAACTCCGTCCCCGATACTGTGGACCATTTCGCATCAGCCACATGATGACACCCGTCACCACCCACCTCCTCCTCCCTGCTGACTGGTACGTCAGCCCCTCATTCCACGTCAGCCTGCTTCGCCCTTACGTCCCGTCCACAAGCCAACTGCCACGCACTCGCACAGGCAGCATGACACGACCGCCAACTGAACCAATCATCACACGCAAAAAAATCCTGAGCCACCGAGTTCGTGACCCTCGAGGAGCCCGAAGGATCGAGTTCCTGATCCGCTGGAAAGGTCGTACACCCACCGAAGACAACTGGGTTCTCCTGGACAGAATCGAAAACCACCCCGTCCTCACCGAGTATCTGCGCAACCGAAACTTCAGGGATGTACACGCACTTTCGTAACGATGACCTCCTTAGGGGGGGGGGTAGTGTAAGGAAAATTCATTTTCCTTACTTCGCGTCCCCGCTTAGCGTTGTTAGAAGTAGAAGAAAGAAGAGGGTTTGACTAGCAAGTATGAGGATACAAATAGCAAACCCTAACAGGGTTGTACTCGCTTTAGAGCACCCCACTACAGGCTAGATGAGAACATTCTGACACACCCCCATAGCCAAAGTGGGGTGTAATCAGTAGAGCAAGCAAAGCAGTACAAGCTCAGGGTGGATCACAATGTCACCACACATTCTGAGCACAAGTTCAAGAAGCAATAGTTTAAAGTTAAGAATTATGAGCAAAGCTAGAGGCTATCGCAGAGGGCAAGTGAGGAGGAGGAGGCGAGAGTGAGAGGAAAGGAGATAGGAGGCGACGGATGAAGCTGCAGACACACGGGCAACAGGAGGCAGACTGGCACAGCGGCTACCGGACGAAGCCCCCGGACTACAGGGGTAACTGGCCCCGCGGCTAAAGTAGCGGCAGACGAGCAACGGACCCACGGGCGGCTGGCACAGCTGGCTACGACTGAGCTACTGGACGAAGCCCCCGGACTACAGGTGCTGCTAGCGACACAGCGGCATCCTTCATTCAGCTCCCCAAACAGTCTCACCCCCCCTTGCACACACCCCCTACTGCACCCCTAGGGTCACTCACACCCCACCCCCTAGCACGACTCCAGCGACTCCCACACACCCACCCCCCTCAGCGGCAGCTGCAGCAGTGGGAGACGGAGGAGGAGGAGGAGCAGGGGAGACCACACACCCGCCACCCCCATACTCGCCACCCCCTACTCGCCACTCCCCAAACCCTAACTCAGGCAGGGCGGGATGGCGGGTAGGGAGGTAACGGGGGAGGGGGAGGGGGGGGGGGGGGAACCGACGCGCGGCCGCCCAGGGCGCCAAGACAGGCAGCAGAAAGGGGGGGGGGGGGGGGGGGGGGCGCTCGCCCCCCTCCCCCAGGTAAGCGGCCCCCGAGGGAGCCGCGACGGGCGACGGGAAAAGGGGGGGTCGCACGCGGGGCCGGGGCCGGGACGGGCGGCGCACGGGCGGTGTGGGGCCGGGACAGCGGCGCACGGGCGGCGACGGGCCGGGGCTGGCGGCGCACGGGCTGCGACGGGCCGGGGCAGCTGCGCGGGGCCGGGGCAGCGGCGCACGGGCGGCGACGGGCCGGGGCAGCGGCGCACGGGCGTCGACGAGCCGGGGCAGCGGCGCACGGGCGTCGACGGGCCGGCGCGCGGGTCCCCGTCGCCCGTCGCAGCGCCTCCCGAGGGCGACGCGCCGAGCGACGAGGCAGAAGCCCGCCGCGCGCCTCGGGGCGCACAGCGGGCAGAGAACCGCCGCGCGCCTCGGGGCGCACGGCGGGCAGAAAACCGCCGCGCGCCTCGGGGCGCACGGCGGGAAGAAAAAAACTGCCGCACGCCACGGGGCGTGCGGCACAGAGAGTAGCAATAGCAGTTGCAGCGGAAGCAACGAGGTGGTGTTAACCCACCCACAGGATCGATCCAAGGGGATCGACCTGCTCTGATAGCATGTTAGAAGTAGAAGAAAGAAGAGGGTTTGACTAGCAAGAATGGGGATACAAATAGCAAACCCTAACAGGGTTGTACTCGCTTTAGAGCACCCCACTACAGGCTAGATGAGAACATTCTGACAAGCGTGTACACCACTGTAGCACCACAGTCAGCACCGTTACCACTCGCGACTCTCGCATCGACAATCCTCCCGCCACCTTCGCACGTCGCACCCCGACCTCACGGCTCGGCGGGTAACCCGCGCTCCGGGCCTCCGCTTCGACACTTTTCCCAACCTCAGTCCCAGGCCCGTCACGCGATAACCACAGTCCATTACTGTTACCACTGTAGTTTCGCTATATATTCTTCGCCCATGCCTTCGCTCATTGGATTCTTGCTTCGATAGTGCAATTCTAGTTCATTCACTCAATAGCACTCGTAACATTGAGACTTATTTACCGGACTCGACTCATTTTTGCTGATTTTTGTCCCTGGTTAATTGTTTTTCGACTCATTTTCTTCCTGATTTTTGTCAGTGTGTATGTTATGAATGAACTTGCAGAGTGCGCAGTAAAACGAATATCAAGAATGATTGAGTACTGAATTACTGAATGCCGATACAATGGAAGTGACGAGGCCTAAGTAGGGGAAGTCCTAGCTAGGCGGGGAGGTTGGGCGAGGATGGCTCGGTGATGGTTGCGATTGGAGCGGAGGCGACTCGGGAGTGGTTCGGTGCGACGAAATAGGAAGGACAGGTTCGTCGCATGACCCTCGGGATGTCCTCGCTAACGAGTGCCTCAGTAAGGATTCTGTAAATCCTTACACTGTAAGCTTGTGCCGATTGGACAACATTCCCACGGCTTGCCGGGTTCTGTACATTATGGTATGGGATCAGCTCTGGTGCCGCACATGGCGGCTCTGGCTCGGCGCAACTTGGCGGGAAAACGAAGCCCCTGTTTAATAAGCGAGGAGACACGTTTTGGGTTTGGCTCGGCGGATAGCCGACATTACCGAAGGTAACCTAGCGGGAACCAGCGGCAGAGGTTCGGAGAAAGATGCCTTGCAGGTCTGCTCATGTAGAAGCTCGATGAAACATCACAGTGAATTTGACATAATTGGGCTGACGGTTGCTGTGGTGCAGAGCGGTCTAGATATTAACTAGAACGTGTTTGTGCGGTCCTGGATGGTAGCTAGCTGCATTCGCTGCATCCCCTTTCACCCCACTCGCTCGAGTTTCTCATCTCATCTTCCCAAGCGTGTCAGTCGGAGCTTGGCTTCTTGATCCACTCTGCCTAGTCACCTCGATAACTACCATTTGCTGTCGTATGCCGGTAGTTGCTTGCCAGCAGCGTGATCAGCGGTGTAGGATCCAAGCCAGGCTCGTTCGCTTCATACTCACGTCAGCGCGTCCAGTTTCGCGGGTATCTGACGTTTGGTAACGATCTTTTCGGGTCCGTCACGCTAGGTCGCATCGCGTGTTACATTCCAGTGCGATTTCGAGCTGAATAGCGTCTTATTGTTCCAGTGCCAGATATTGATTCTTCTTCGGTGCCAAGAAGCCCTTCGTCTCCAACATCAATCCTTGCACCTATTGGTCTATTCTCTGTGGAAAGCTATTTGGCCCGTCAGCTCCCTCCTGTGCGAGGTTATCTACGTATTGTAATGGGTGAGTGAGTCGCAGTTTCGACTCCTAAAGCTCCACTTCATTTGGTCTCACTGTTAGTGGTCTTATTGTCATTTTTCAGTGACTCTCCAGCCGTAATAGAACTCAAATTTTACTGCCTATGCACCCAGCTCCTATATTTTGTTGCCTCGATCTTCCTTCCTTCAGTCGTTATCATCTCGACTTATACATTTTTTTTAAAGGAGCCCGTCTGACAAAATTAGTTTCCTGTATTCGCAGCGCCCGTCAAGTCGCATTCCAAGGTCGTTTCCATCGGACGGACTCCGTTAGTGCATCCGCTGGACCCGCTGAGTCCCGCGGAGATCTCTGTCGCCCTCGCGACGGTCCGCACGGCTGGAGCTACTCCCGAGGCAAGTTACTTATCATATTTTAGTTGCTATTTTAACGTGTTTTCATGTCAAATCTAGTTAGAAAACTTACAGTTCGGTTTGATAAAAATATGCTGAAGTGACGCATATTTAGTTATCATGCGTTTCAAATACATTGATGGACCTCCTTTTGGGAAGTTCTCCCTATTTTTTTCCCTCATTTTCGTGTTCCGTCACTATTGCTGATGTAACTGTTTCTTTGTTTCAGCTGCGGGATGCCATCCGCTTTATTGAGGTGGCTCTTAACGAGCCACCCAAGGACGTGGTCGCACTGGCAGACGCCTACTTCTTCCCTCCTTACCAGCACTCGGTGTACATTCCACCCGCCAACGCTCACCCTCCCACTCACAACAAACCGTCCTCCTCCTTTCCCTCCTCCTCCTCCCCCATCCCTTCCTCCACCACCACCACCCCCTCCCCCTCCGCCTCCTCCGCCGCCTCCCCCTCTCCCAAAGCGGCTGTTCTCCGCCTCCCCCCCCGGGAGGCGAGGCTGGTGACGTGGAACAAGCTGACCAATCAGACGGCGGTATGGGTGGTACAGCTGGCAGAGGTGCATGCGAGTCTCAGGGGGGGGCACCACCGTGGACGAATCAAATCGTGCCAGGTCATGGAGGACGTTCAGCCCGCCATGGTGAGTCCAGACAAAGTCAGCAATGGCGTTCAGATGCACATGCCTCTGCGTACACTCCTCCTGATGCAGTTATAGCGAATTGGGTTTTGCGAACAGACTATTGAGTTTTCTCGAGCTGAATCTTGCAGCTCCTCTCCCTCTCACTTCACTTGCCTGTCCTCAGGATGCAGTGGAGTGTGCAGAGTGCGAGGAAGCAGTGAAAGCTCACCCAGCAGGGTTGAAGCATCTTCTTTCCTCTCATCCTTTTATCATTTCCTCCCATCCTTTTATCATTTCCTCCCATCCTCTCACTCTTCGTTATCCTCAGTCTCTCATCCTTCCTTTTTCTCATCCCTCCATCCCCCCTACCCAGGGCGCAGTGGAGTATGCAGAGTGCGAGGCAGCAGTGAAGGCACACCCAGCACCGTCAATGCATGTTCCTTTAGCTCATCCTTTTTCTCTTATCCTCTCATCCTGCCGTCCTCTCTTCTTTCCTCCCTTCAGGACGCAGTGGAGTATGCAGAGTGCGAGGCAGCAGTGAAGGCACACCCGCCATTTCAAGAGGCGATGAGGCGACGAGGTGTCGATGACATGGACCTAGTCATGGTGGACGCGTGGTGAGTCATGAAGGCAACGTGCTTAGTTAGCGTTCTGCAATGACGGCACGAGCAAACCTGTGCTATGTACTGAAATAGACCAAGCATGCATGAATGATCATTATGCTTCATGGCATCTTATTCAGGTGTATTTATGTATATTACACCCACTAAGTCATTCTGGGCTCAGTCATTCCTCTCTCTCCATCTCCGGTGTGTTTCTTCCCTCCTAATCTCCCCTCACTCGATCCCGTTGTGTCTCCAGGTGTGTGGGGTATTACTCTGAAGCGGATCACCCCAATCGCCGCCTCGCCAAGCCGCTCATCTTCTGCCGCTTCCCCTCTGACTGCTCTTTGGACAATGGATACGCCAGGCCCGTCGAGGGTATATACGTGACGTTGGACCTGCAGGTAAGAAGATATACTCTTTATAATCACTGCCTCGTTAGCAGCACAAGCATGTTCCCCTCTGACTGCTCTTTGGACAATGGATACGCCAGGCCCGTCGAGGGTATATACGTGACGTTGGACCTGCAGGTGAGAAGATGTACCCTTTATAAGCACTGCCTCGTTAACAGTACACACACTTGTGCCCCTCTGACTGCTCTTAGGACAATGGATACGCCAGGCCCGTGGAGGGTATATACGTAACGTTGGACCTGCAGGTGAGCGTGAGCATATATACTCTTTATAAGCACTGCCTTTTTAACAGCACATTCGCATGTGCCCTTCTGACTGCTCCTCGGACAGTGGATACGCCAGGCTTGCGGAGGGCATACACGTGACTCTAGACTCGCAGGTGAGTATCCCCTCCCTATATTAGGACCCTCCCTGCTGTCGGTCAGAGCATGGCAGTGGTTAGGAGCGAGGACAGGGAGGTCATCCCTCTCCTCCCACCTCACCACCTCGAGTAACCATTGGTTGTCGGGATATAGATTTCTATTTCCCTCCTCTCCCGTCCCCTCCTACCTTTAGTTTTTAAAGCATGGAAGTGATGAGGTGCTAGGGCAGGGAGCTCATCCCCCTGCCACACTCTAGCCTTATCTCCCATCCTCACAGTCTAGCCTTATCTCCTACCCTTATATTTCTCCTCCCCTACCCCATCTCCTCCCTTCAATTCTCCCCTGCTGCTGCTCCCGTCCAGTCCATGGCAGTGATCAAGGTGCGAGGACAGGGAGGTGATCCCGCTGCCCCCACCGGACCCACTGCGCATCTACACACTGACAGGATATATGTTTCTTCTCTCCCCCTCTCCCTGCTTCCCCTGCTGCCGTTACAGAGCATTGAAGTGATCCGCCCCGCCCGACCCGCTGCGCAACTACACGGCCGGGGCGGACAGGGGGGCCGTGGACCGCTCCGATTTGAAGCCACCACCCACTCCTCACCCCCCTCCCTTTCCCCATATCCTCCCTTTCATCCGCCCCTGCTCCTGCCCCTTCCTCTGCTGCTGCTGCTGCTCCATCTTCCCCTGCTGCCGTTACAGAGCATGGAAGTGATCAGGTGCGAGGACAGGGAGCTCATCCCTCTGCCCCCGCCCGACCCGCTGCGCAACTACACGGCCGGGGCGGACAGGGGGGGCGTGGACCGCTCCGACTTGAAGCCCATTAAGATAGAGCAGCCCGAGGGGCCGAGCTTCCGCGTGAATGGATACGCTGTGGAGTGGCAGAAGGTGGGTGGAATGAGGGATGTCAAGGGGTTGAATACGGTGTGGAGTGGCAGAAGGTGGGTGGAATGAGGGATGTCAAGGGGTTGAATACGGTGTGGAGTGGCAGAAGGTGGGTGGAATGAGGGATGTCAAGGGGTTGAATATGGTGTGGAGTGGCAGAAGGTGGGTGGAATGAGGGATGTCAAGGGGTTGAATACAGTGTGGAGTGGCAGAAGGTGCATGGGAGAGAATCGAGTGAGAGAATAGAGTGAGAATGGAAAGGCCAAAGGGGGGTTTTAGAGACGACAAGTATGGGACAGGGGGGGCGTGGACCACTGTGACTTGAAGCCAGTGAAGATTGAGCAGCCTGAGGGGCCGAGCTCCGAGTGTCAGGCTATGCTTTGGAGTGGCAGAAAGTGTGTGGAAGGGGGGGAGGAGGGAGGAGGGAAGTGGAAGGCGGAATGCTGGAGGTGGATTGGGTGGTTGGGAAAGTGGGGCGGAGGGGGGCGGAGGGGAGATGGGGAAAAGGGGACTGTGATGGTTGCGTAGTTTGGTTACATGGGGAGAGAGGGGGGAAAAGGGACTGGGGGCAGATGGTTGGGTGGTTTGGGTGTGTGGTAGCAGACTGTGGGGCGTGGACTGCAGTGGTTAGAGGGGACTGCAGTGGTTAGAGGGGACTGCAGTGGTTAGAGGGGACTGCAGTGGTTAGAGGGGACTGCAGTGGTTAGAGGGGACTGCAGTGACTTGAAGCCGATCAGAGGGGAACAGCCAGATGGTTCGAGCTTCATAGCGGCGGGCCTTAACCCTTCCATCGTATTCCTCCCTACTCCTGCCCATTCCTGCCCATCGTATTCTTCCAGTGGAGTTTCCGTGTAGGGTTCACGCCTAAAGAAGGCCTGGTGCTGCATTCCCTAGCCTACGACGATGGCAGCAGCGGCAGGAGGGGCGTTGCGCACCGGCTGAGCTTCTGTGAGATGGTGGTGCCGTATGGCGACCCCCACGAGCCCCACTACCGCAAAAACGCCTTCGATGCCGGTGAAGACGGGCTGGGCAAGAACGCCCACTCGCTAAAGAAGGTGCGTGGGTATGGGCAATGAGAGAGAAGCAAAGGAAGGAGGACGGGCTGGGGAAGAACACCCACTCGCGCAAAAAGGTGCGTGCTGTTGAAAAATCAAGTGTTTTGTGAGGAATGTGAGTTTCTCGAGGCGTGGTGGTGGTGGTGGTGATGGTGGTGGTGGTGGTGCTGCTGCTGCTGCGGCTGGGGCTGCTGCTATTGGTGGGGCTGCTGGTGGGGTCAGTGAGTGAAGTCTCTGTGCCTTGCTAGACAGGCTGAGTTTTATACAACCCGCAATACCTCCATAAGTCGTTTGAGGCTCAAGAACACTTCTGTTTCTTCTCCTCCTTTTCTTCTTTCCCCATCCCATTCTGTCCATGCGATTCTCCCCATCCCATATTTCCCATCCATTTCTTTTCCCAGGGATGTGACTGTCTAGGGTTGATCCGCTACTTTGACGCGCACATGAGCAACTTTCTCGGTGGCGTCGAGACGATAGAGAACGCCGTGTGCATGCATGAGGAGGACCATGGCATGCTCTGGAAGCACGTGGACTGGCGCTCGGGGCACACGGAAGTGAGGCGGTCGAGAAGGCTCGTGCTCTCGTTTGTGTGCACGGTGGCCAACTACGAATACGGCTTCTTCTGGTATCTCTATCAGGTGGGTGTGTCAGTGGGAGCGTTGAGGGAGGGCGAGGAGAGGAGGTACGCATCACATTCCCCCCGCTTCCACTCAATGCCCTCAACCCCTCAACCCCCCTCAACAGGACGGCAAGATAGAGGCACAGGTGAAGCTCACCAGCATCTTATCAGTGGGAGCGCTGAGGGAGGGCGAGGAGCGGAGGTACGGCACGCTGCTGGTACCGGGGCTGTACGCTTTCATCCACCCCCTTCATTTCCCCACTCCCTTGACTAACCCTACTACCTCCACTCTCCCACTCCCCTTACTCCCCTTCCTCTTCCCTGCTCTCTTCCCTCCTCTCTTCCCTCCTCCCCTCTCTTTACACTCTTCCACACCACAGGATGGCAAGATCGAAGCACAAGTAAAGCTGATGGGCATTCTGTCGGTGGGCACTCTGAGGGAGGGCGAGGAGCGCAAGTACGGCACGCTGCTGGCGCCGGGGCTGTATGCTCCCATCCACCCCCTTCATGCACTCAAAGACCTCAACCCCTCCCCACACCACAGGATGGCAAGATCGAAGCACAAGTAAAGCTCACGGGGATCCTATCAGTGGGCACTCTGAGGGAGGGTGAGGAGCGCAAGTATGGGACACTGCTGGCGCCGGGGCTGTATGCTCCCATCCACCAGCACTTCTTTGTGGCTCGCATGGACATGGCTGTTGACTGCCGCCCGGGCGAGCAGGCTAATCAGGTGAGGGCGTTAGGATGCATGGCAAAGGCAAGGCGTTTAGTTGCTGCACGAGATGCCGCTAGTGCTCGGCCTCTCTGCCCCCATGCACCCATCCATCCATCCATCCATCCATCCATCCATCCATCCATCCATCCATCCATCCATCCATCCATCCATCCATCCATCCATCCATCCATCCATCCATCCATCCATCCATCCATCCATCCATCCATCCATCCATCCATCCATCCATCCATCCATCCATCCATCCATCCATCCATCCATCCATCCATCCACCAGCGCTTCTTCGTGGCTTGCATGGACATGGCTGTGGATTGAAGCCCAGGGGAGAATACCAACCAGGTATGGTTGGCCCCACAACCCATGTGCGAATGACCAAGTTCCCTTAATGAGCCGATATTTTCTGCCCCTACCCCCTCCTTCCCCTACATCTGGTGGTGGAGCTGAACGTGAGGATGGAAGGGGAGGGAAAAACCCCCACAACCCATGTGCGATGGCGCCCCACTCTCGGAATCCTCCCACCCACCCCTCTCTCTCTTCCTATCATCAGGTGGCGGAGCTGAATGTGAGGATGGAAGGGGCAGGCCCGCACAACCCTCATGCGAATGCCTTCTATGCAGAGGAGAGGGTGCTTCGGACAGAAGGCGAAGGGATGAGAGACGTGGATCCCATGTCTGCCAGGCACTGGCTGGTGAGTGGGTGACTGAGCAATTGGGGGCGTATAGAGAGAGAGGGCATTTGGACTGCTGTCTATGCGGTGCTTCGGACAGAGGGCATGAGAGGCGTGGATCCCATGTCTGCCAGGCACTGGCTGGTGAGTGAATGAGGGAGTAAGTGTGAGAGTGAGAGAGGGCGTTTTCCTTTATTCGCCTGCGATAGGAGAGGGTTGTGCGGACAGAGGGCGAGGGCATGCGGGATGTGGACCCCATGTCTGCCAGGCACTGGCTGGTGAGTGGGAGGGCATTCGTCTGAAAGCACTGAATAAGGAGTGTGCTCCATTTTGTTACATGGTACATTCATAACACCACTTACTTCTGTTGTCCATTTCTCGGTTTGCCTGTTTCTTTGGGCCCTATCTTTCTTGGTGCAGATCCAAAACACTCGGGCAGTCAACCGGGCAGGTCGTCCAACAGCCTACAAGCTCGTGCCAGGGTCCAACTGCCTGCCCTTCTCGCAGCCCGAGGCGAAATTTCTCCGCCGGGCAGCTTTCCTGAAGCACAACCTGTGGGTCACGCCGTACCACCCGGAGGAACGGTTTCCGGGCGGCGAGTTCCCGAACCAGAACCCCAGGATCGGCGATGGGCTGTCCTTGTGGGTGCAGCAGAACAGATCGATCGACAATGCTGATGTGGTGCTCTGGTAAGTGATGCCTCGGTATGTGGTGCCTTAATATGTGGCAAGCCTGCTTTTGTTATAAAGCTGACGTGGTGCATGGAAGCCAGTCCTTCTCTTATTTTCCTTGTGCCGTGCATCGTCCACTGTGACCAAATCAGCTTTTAGTTTTCACTACTTTTTATATGTTTCCCTCGTCCCCTTCCATTGCATTCTCAACATTGCATTGCATTCCCATCCCACCTGTTGTGTGCAGGTACGTGTTTGGCCTCACTCACGTCCCACGGCTGGAGGATTGGCCCGTCATGCCCTGTGAATACCTCGGTTTCTGCCTCATGGTGAGTCGGTGCTTGTTTTTTTTTTTTATGCCTGGGAGGTATGTTGAGTGGACTCAAACATGTTCCATGGCTAGAGAATTGGCCGGTGTTACCCTGTGAATACCTCGGCTTCTGCCTCATGGTGAGTCAGAGGTTGATTTGAGGGGCCTCATAGGAACAAGTCTAGCCTTACACACATCCCTCCCCTCCACGGCTGGAAGATTGGCCCGTCATGCCGTGTGAATACCTCGGCTTCTGCCTCATGGTGAGTCAATGCTATAGTCATATTGAGTGTCATGTGAATGTATTAGCTTTATTCTGTGGTAACCTGCGGTAACATGTATGCACCATCACCAGTGCATGCATGTTGCACTGGTTATGGTGCAAAAGAGTTTTTGGTATGGAGTCGATTCCATTCTTTTTACCTCGTTACAACCTTGGTGTGTTTTATTCACCACTGAACTGCATACATTTAGTGATTCCTGGAACATGTACGCCAATGTTGGCCAAATTATTTGGTTTACAATATCTTCTATTGTTTGTAACACTGAATTCACCCTCATGGTTTGTTTGTGTTTGTGCGTGCAGCCACATGGTTTCTTCAACATATCTCCTGCAGTTGATGTTCCTCCTAGTGAACCTGAAAATGCCGCCGAAACAGGCACTGTTTCTACACCTAGCGCTAGCAAAGATGGGAACTGCTGTAGTGAGACGAATCTGCCAAGCCTCGCGTCAAAACTCTAGAAATGTGGCGGCATTCTCGTGGATGGTGTATCTATTGTTTATTATTATTCTAGTTTGAGCATCCCTTAGTTTTAGTATCGTGCTTTACAAACGCAACAAAAATTGGTACCATAAGATGATATTAGAGCGCTGTTGTATCGGATCCGGCTGGCTATTTTGTCGACTCCCTCGCCATGTCAGGCGGGAATTTCAATTTTCAGTATGCCAGCAGCTCCAGGTTCTAGTCTGGTCACTGCCTTATCATCTAAGGAGCAACTTAGTGGTATGCCACGTGCCTTCTTCCCGTAGCAGATTCCCTCAATCTCTAGCGACCTGCGTGGTATGGTTTCTGTTGGTACGGAATTATTCATTCAAGTACAGTTGCGTTCGTCTGGTCACGCATTTCTCGGAGATAGTTCTCTTCACTCTCCAGAAACTCTCCAAGCGCCTCAAATCCGCTTCGCGCTCCGAGATTAGGTTTTGCCCACTTTCATCATTCGAAGCACCTGTTAGGAGAAAGGACGATAGCTAAGTTGAAAGGGATTCAAATGAAGAAAACCCGATAGTGTCGATTAACTAAGGACGCGAAGGCAATCAAGTTGCGGAGAGAGGGCGGGTAAAGGGAGTGGCGAGGCGGCATGGTCCGAAGGCAGATAGCGCGCAGTGGAAACGAGCAGGGGGCTAGTAATGGCCTGCGACCCGTGGGTGACGCTAGCGGGGGTACGCGTGACACTAGCGCGGGGGGTATCCGTGACACTAACGGGGGTGCGGAGAGGGAGCAGCGGGAAGCGGTTGCAGAGAGGGCGCGTGATCCGGAAAAGAGACCCCCAGCGGAGGCTGTGGCAGGAAGATTCCAACCGGCAGGCCGTGAGGGCGTTGCTGCGTCACAAAGCCCTGACTCTGACAGACGTTCCGATAACTCTCAAAATATTTTCGAGAAATCTACAAAGTCTTTCACGGGGACTGCAGAGGAGGCTATGGCGGGGGTTCTCCAACCAGCAGGCTTGGAGGCCGTTGATACGTCCCGAAGCCTGGAAAGACGTTCTGATATCCGTTTGGCGAAAGAATCGCGTCAGCAAGGCTCTCTGGCGGGCGAGGGGCAGCACCCAGTAGTTCCGGAGGGCGAATCTGAAGCCCGTCTATCAAAGGAGTCGCGTCAGCAAGCGGCTTCAGCTGGCGAGGCTTTTTGTGAGGCACCTCAATCACGGCCAGTAGACTCAGAGGGCCAATCTGAGCCCCGTTTGGTGAAGGAGAAGGAATCGTGTCAGCAAGGTCCTTTGGTCGGCGAGTCTTCTCAAGAGCAAGTGTTCTCTTCCGACTGCTGCAAGGCAGGAGGCTGTCAGGGACTCTCCATACGGGAGCAGTACGAAAGGGAGTTTGGTGGTTACCTGCGTGGTTACAGGTTCGCCCATCCTGCTGCTGCGGCTGGTGCTGTTGATGCTGGTGCTGGTGGTTCGGGTGTTCCTGCTAGAGCTGATGCAGCTGGTGGTGCTACAGCGGGTGCGACAGCCGGTGCTACAGCTGGGGGGTTGAGTGTGGAGGAGTTCAGGGCTTTGGAATGCCCTCAGCTGAAAGGTGGGTGTGGGAACAATGAATGGTCGCTACAGCCCGTGCTACAGCCGGTGCTACAACAGGCGGTTTGAGTGTGGAGGAGTTCAGGGCTTTGGAATGCCCCTCAACTAAAAGGTGAGCGTGAAAACTACGGACGGTCAATGCTATAGATATAACCGTTTCTTTTGTTGCTGAAAGGTGGTACCACAGCTGGTGCTACAGCCAGTGGTGCTACAACGGCTGGGGGATTGAGTGTGGAGGAGTTTAGGGCTTTGGAGTGCCCCCAGCTGAAAGGTGAGTGTGATAACGAAAGGTGAGCTTGCCCTCAGCTGCTGCTACAGCCGGTGGTGCTACAGCCGGTGGTGCCATAGCCGGTGGTTTGAGTGTGGAGGAGTTTAGGGCTTTCGAGTGCCCCCAGCTGAAAGGTGAGCGTGAAAACAGTGATCGGTCAATTTACATGTTAGTAATGCAATCTTATCTTGCGTTTCTGAAAGGTGGTGCTACGGCCAGTGCTAGCAACAGCAGCAGTTTACGCTCGCAGGTCGCAGCAGCCGCAGCAGCTCTCCCTCTCTTGTCTTCCCCCAACTATCTTGACCCTGTGTCTATCTTGACCATGCAGCAGCAGCAGTATACACACGCTCGCAGGTCACAGCAGCAACAGCATCTCTCACTCTCTCTCTTTCCTCTTTTCCTCGCTCCACCTTCCCCACACCACACCTCAGGCTGTGTCTATCTGGCTGGACCATGCAGCAGCAGCAGCAGCAGCAGTATACACTCGCTCGCAGGTCGCAGCAGCCACCAGAGCCCTCACTCTCTCTGGCCTTTTCCTCGCTCCATCTTCCCACCACCATATTGCAGGCTGCGTCTACCTCGACCATGCAGCAGCAGCAGTATACAGGCGCTCGCAGGTCGTAGCAGCAACAAGAGCCTTCATTCACTTGTCTTTCTCCCTTGTTTCCTCCCATCCTTCAACTCACCTCAGGCTGCGTCTATCTCGACCATGCAGCAGCAGCAGTGGAAACACTCTCGCAGGTCACAGCAGCAAGCAATAAGAGCCCTCACTCACTTGTCTTTCTCCCATGTATCTCGCCGTGCACCACATCCCAGGCTGCGTGTACCTCGACCATGCAGCAGCAGCGGTGTACACACGCTGGCAGATTGCAGGCAGCCACCAGAGCCCTCACTCTCTTTGGCCCCTTTTCCACGTGAAAGAAGGAGTGTTTTGAGACGTCTCAAAAGAGCCCTCACTCTCTTTGGCCCCTTTTCCTCGCTCCACCTTCTCATCACCATATTGCAGGCTGTGTGTATCGCGACCATGCAGCAGCAGCGGTGTACACACGCTGGCAGGTTGCAGCAGCTACCAGAGCCTTCAATCTCTCCATCATCCTTTCTTCCCCCCTCTCCTCATGCACCACATCAGGCTGCGTGTATCTTGACCATGCAGCAGCAGCAGTGTACACTCGCTCGCAGGTCACAACAATCACGAGAACCCTCACCAAACTGTCTGATTTCTCCCGTCATTCCCATCCACCATCGCACCTCAGCCTGCGTCTACCTCGACCATGCAGCAGCAGCAGTTTACACGCACTCGCAGGTCGCAGCAGCACATCAGCCCTCATTCCCTCCCTCATCTGTTCCCCCCCCTCTTCCCCAATGCACCGCATGTCAGGCTGTGTGTATCTGGACCATGTGGCAGCTGTTTACACTCGCGCGCATGTCGCAGCACTAGCAACAGCTCTCCTCTAACTCTAAACCTCTTCTCTCCCGCCCTCCTTCCCCTCCCTACAACATCTCAGGCTGTGTGTATCTGGACCATGCAGCAGCAGCAGTATACACTCGCTCGCAGGTTGCAGCAGCCACCAGAGCCCTCACCCGTTCCCTCTTTTCCAACCCTCGTGAGCACTCTCCTCCCATAAACACATTCCTCGCTTTCTCACTTTCCTCGTTCTCTCACTCTCCTCGCTCTCTCACTTCCCTCCCTCACACATTGCAGTGATTGCATAGGGAAAATTATTCTCAGCTCCCTCCCTCCCTCTCATCCAATCCTGTCTAATGATTTCCCATTCTTGTACGTGGCTCCTCCTGCTTGCGACAGTGCATTTATTGGCCGAATTTTCCTCCCCACCTTCCCCCCCCTTTCTTCTTCCGTGTCTGCACGTTAATCATTCCTTCCCACTCTATTCCCTCTGTTCCTTTTTTTCTCGTTACAGACAGCGCCAGTAGCAGCAGTGCGGCCACGTCTGACGCGATCGAATCACTTCGCATGCAGGTAGGCAGGCTTTGAAATGGAAGCAGGTAATCACTTGACTTACACCTTGAAATGTCATTGTTTTGCCGACTCAAAAATCGACTCAAAATCTTGAGTCAACTCAAAAATCATGCAGATAGGCAGTCTAGTCTGTCAGCTGTCAGCTGACTTACACTCTCTAACCAGGATCAGCTTCATATCCATTAACCTCATACATCTCCATTTATCATCCCAAGGCGACTTGTGAGTGGTTAACTCTCGAATCAATGTTGGCGTCGACTGAAAAGAAATGCCGAGCAGGTTGACTTGACGTACACCCATTCATGTCCATAAGCCTCGTACAATTCTATCTAGCACCCCAAGGTGACTTTTGGGTGGACATTTGAGTTGACTTAAAAAGAAATGCCAAGCAGGTTGACGTACACACACCCATTCATATCCATAAGCCTTGTATCCTCCCATTCTATCACCCATTCTCCATCTATCTCCGCTGCTGTCCTTCAGGTCCTTGCCATGTGCAATGCCCCTCCCCGCTACGACTGTGCTGTGCCTTCACCAGTGTTGCCACGTCCTGCAAACTCTCATGGACACTCCTTTGTATTTGTACTAATTTGTGTTCCACTCTCCAACTCTCGATTCATCACCCCACCCCTTCCCTTCAGGTGCTAGCCATGTGCAATGCACCTCCCTCCCAGTACGCTTGCGTCTTTACCAGTGGTGCCACGTCAGCACTCAAAACGGTCGGCGAGGCATTCAGATGGACGGCGGACAGCGAGCTGGCAATGACGCTGGACAACCACAACTCGGTGCTGGGGATCAGAGAGTAAGATAGTCTCACGTAGTGAGTAATGAAGAGGAAACCCAGCTGGGTCAGTCAGTGTGGTGTGGTGTTTAGATGGGCGGCAGGCACTGGGCTGGCAATGACGCTGGACAACCACAACTTGGTGCTGGGGATCAGAGAGTAAGAGGAGTGGGAAAGTGGGAGGGGACAGTGCTGTGGGGTCAAAGGGTGGATGGAGGGGCGTTCACATGGGCAGCAGGGAGGCAGCGAGCTGGCAATGACTCTGGACAACCACAACTCGGTTCTGGGCATCAGAGAGTAAGTGCTGGGTGTAGGAGGGGAAGGCGTTGGTGATTTGGAGGGACAGTGCTGTGGGGTCAAAGGGTGGATGGAGGGGTGTTCAGATGGGTGGCAGGCAGTGAGCTGGCGATGACGTTAGACAACCACAACTCGGTGCTGGGGATGAGAGAGTAAGGCTTGGGGGGAATAGGAGGGACAGTGCTGTCGGGCCAAAGGGTGGATGGAGGGGTGTTCAGATGGGTGGCAGGCAGTGAGCTGGCGATGACGTTAGACAACCACAACTCGGTGCTGGGGATGAGAGAGTAAGGCTTGGGGGGAATAGGAGGGACAGTGCTGTCGGGCCAAAGGGTGGATGGAGGGGTGTTCAGATGGGTGGCAGACAAGTAAGCAGCTGGGGCGATGACAGTCGGACAACCACAACTCGTTGCTGGGGATCAGAGAGTTGAGTAAGGATTGGAAGGGGTGGGAGCGGAGAGTGTTTTGGGTTTAGAGGGAGGGATGGAGGGGCAGACAAGCAGCTGGCGATGACGCTGGCTGGACGACCGCAAATCGGTGCTGCGGATCAGAGAGTAAGGACTGGGGAGAGTATGATGGCAGGGTGGTTGGAGGGTTGAGAGGGAAGAGGAAGGAGATGGGCGGCTGGCAGCGAGCTGGCAATGACGGTGGACAACCACAACTCGGTTTTGGGAATGAGAGAGTAAGGGGTTTTTTTTTTTCGGTTGAGGATGTAGTGAGTAATGAAGAGGAAAGCTAGCTGGGTCAGGTCAGGGTGACTTCCTGATATGATGGGAGGGTGGTTGGAGGGTTGAGAGGGAAGAGGAAGGAGCTGGGCGGCTGGCAGCGAGCTGGCAATGACGGTGGACAACCACAACTCGGTGCTGGGGATCAGAGAGTAAGGAAGAAAGAGGGAAAGTGTTTCTGGGAGAGGGAGATGGATGAAGAGGAGGGGGTGTTTTGATCAGGTGGGTGGCAGACAGCCGGCTCGCAATGACGTTGGACAACCACAACTCGGTGCTGGGGATCAGAGAGTAAGAATAGTTCTTTTGAGACGTCTCAAAAGGAAGAATAGTTCGGATTCTATGCACTCACAGATACACCGAGTTTTGTGTTGTTGTTTGTTTGTTTTCCTTTTAGGGGGGTTGGTTGGGTTGCCATAAGATGGCTTACAACAATGCTGTTAGTGTGGCACGATAATAATGATGTGTTGTGTCGTGTTGCTGTGTGCAGGTATGCTCTTAGAGCTGGTGCTACAGTGTCTGTTGTTGATATTCGCTATGAGGATGACTATATGGGGGATGAGGAGGAAGAGGAGGAGGAAGAAGGGGGCGATGAGGATGAGAGTGAGAGTGGGAGTGAGGCTGGGAGTGAATATGAGAGTGGAAATGAGAGTGAGAGTGAGAATGGGAGTGAGAATGGGAGTGAGAATGGAAATGACAAACAGGAGAGGAGAGTGGAGAAGGTGGGAGTGGATGAAGTGAGGATAATGAAGGAGGAATTTAAGGAAGAAGAGGGAGGAGAGGATGAAGAAGAGGAGGAGGAAGAAGGAGCAGAGGAGGATGAAGAAGAAGAAGCAGAGGAGGAAGAAGAAGCAGAGGAGGAGGTGGAAGAGGAGGAAGAGGAGGAAGAGGATAAAGATGAGGAGGAAGAGGATGAAGAGGATAGGAGGGCGGGTGTGAGGTTGGGTAGTGGGAGGAAGGTCCGATTTGCTTTGCGTGGGAGGAGGAGCAAACGTAAGGGGGCGGAGGAGGAGGAGGAAGAGGTGGAAGAGGAGGAAGAGGAGGAGGAGGAGGAGGAGGAGGAGGAGGAGGAGGAGGAGGAGGAGGAGGAGGAGGAGGAGGAGGAGGAGGAGGAGGAGGAGGAGGAGGAGGAGGAGGAAGAGGAGGAGGAGGAGGAGGAGGAGGAGGAGGAGGAGGAGGAGGAGGAGGAGGAGGAGGAGGAGGAGGAGGAGGAGGAGGAGGAGGAGGAGAAGGAGGAGGAGGAGGAGGAGGAGGATGAGGAGGAGGAGGAAGAGGAGCAGGAGGAGGATGAGGAGGAGGAAGAATCAGAAGCAGAAGATGAAGAAGAGGGGAAAGTAGGAGTGAGGGTAGGTGGAAGAAAGAAGGTTCGAGTGGTCTTACATGGGAGCAGCAGGAGTAAGCGCAAGGGAGCAACAGAGGAGGAAGAGGAAGAGGAGGACGAAGAAGCGGAGGAGGATGAGGAGGAGGACGAAGAAGAGGAAGAGGAGGGAACGGTGGGAGTGTTGGTGAGAAGGAGGAAGGTTCGATTGGCGTTAGCTGGCAGCAGCAGGAGCAAGCGCAGTGATGTGGTGGGAAAGGAAGCTGAAGCAGTCTCTGCCGGTGGTTGTACTGGTAATGTGCGGCAACCCCTAAGTGCTGCAGATGTCAATTTGAATGCACGGACTGGTGAAGCAGTGGGGCCAGCAGCAGCGATTGTGAGTGTGAGGACAGGTGAACCTGTAGGGGCAGCAGCGAGTGTGAGGACAGGTGAACCTGTAGGGGCAGCAGCGAGTGTGAGGACAGGTGAACCTGTAGGGGCAGCAGCGAGTGTGAGGACAGGTGAACCTGTAGGGGCAGCAGCGAGTGTGAGGACAGGTGAACCTGTAGGGGCAGCAGCGAGTGTGAGGACAGGTGAACCTGTAGGGGCAGCAGCGAGTGTGAGGACAGGTGAACCTGTAGGGGCAGCAGCGAGTGTGAGGACAGGTGAACCTGTAGGGGCAGCAGCGAGTGTGAGGACAGGTGAACCTGTAGGGGCAGCAGCGAGTGTGAGGACAGGTGAACCTGTAGGGGCAGCAGCGAGTGTGAGGACAGGTGAACCTGTAGGGGCAGCAGCGAGTGTGAGGACAGGTGAACCTGTAGGGGCAGCAGCGAGTGTGAGGACAGGTGAACCTGTAGGGGCAGCAGCGAGTGTGAGGACAGGTGAACCTGTAGGGGCAGCAGCGAGTGTGAGGACAGGTGAACCTGTAGGGGCAGCAGCGAGTGTGAGGACAGGTGAACCTGTAGGGGCAGCAGCGAGTGTGAGGACAGGTGAACCTGTAGGGGCAGCAGCGAGTGTGAGGACAGGTGAACCTGTAGGGGCAGCAGCGAGTGTGAGGACAGGTGAACCTGTAGGGGCAGCAGCGAGTGTGAGGACAGGTGAACCTGTAGGGGCAGCAGCGAGTGTGAGGACAGGTGAACCTGTAGGGGCAGCAGCGAGTGTGAGGACAGGTGAACCTGTAGGGGCAGCAGCGAGTGTGAGGACAGGTGAACCTGTAGGGGCAGCAGCGAGTGTGAGGACAGGTGAACCTGTAGGGGCAGCAGCGAGTGTGAGGACAGGTGAACCTGTGGGGACAGCAGCAGATGTGAATGCGAATGCAGGGACAAGTGAACCTGTGGGGGGAGCAGCAGCGAGTGTGAGTGTGAGGACTCCTGAACCTGTGGGGGCAGCAGCACTTGCTGAAACCAACCCTTCTGATTCCACTGTTCTTGCCGAACCAGTGCTGACCGAACCACAGAATGGCAGGGCTGTTTCCGAGCCTGGACAGGAGGTTCGGCCAGGTGTGGCTGCTCCAGCTGTGGCTGGGGATGGTGGGGCCGGAGCTAGTGGGAGTGGGGCGGGTGAGACTGGGGCAGGTGGGACTGGGGCAGGTGGGACTGGGGCAGGTGGGACTGGCTTAGGAGGAAGAAATGAGGAGAAGGGCCATGAGGGAAAAAGGGGTGGAGAGGCAGGATCAGGGTCAAGGGATGTGAGAACAGAGCATGAGAGGCCTTCTGAGTCGTCTCAACTGTCAAGGGATACAAGGGCAGGGGGCATGAAACAGCATCGAGCGGCGGATCGGAAGGGTAGAAGGGTGGATGGAATGGTGGATGGTTGTCCTAAGGGCACAGTCCTTCGAGGGGTGGTAGAGGGGGTGTCCCTTCGCCTGCTGAACCGATTCTCTCGGGCAGCAAGGGAAGGGAAGGCAAGGGAACACGAGGCACCAAAAGCGCCAACAGCACGACGGGAAGAAGCTGTTTCAAAGCCGCCTGAAGAGGTGTTTTCAGGGGCAGGGAAGGAGGAGGAGCGGCAGCAGCGGCGGCGAAGGCAGAAGCAGGAGGGGCAGGAGGAGTTGCCGTTTGTCCCATGCCTGTTTGCAATGCCTGCAGAAAGTAATCTTAGCGGCGAGAAGCTTGATCTGAGGGTGGTGCGGGCGGTGAAGGAGGAGAGGTGTTTGGATGGGTGGGAGGGGTGGAGCCGGGAGGACAGAGGAGTGGAGAGCGGTGATGGTAGGAGACGAGGCAGGGGGAGAGGGAAAAGGAGAAGTGAGAAGGGAATCGAGGAGGAAAGAGAGCAAGGGAGAGAGAAGGGAGGGGATGGCACAACAACTGCTGGTGCCTCTCAAACTCAACAACAACAACAACAGCAGCAGCAGCAGTTGCCTGCAAGCAAGAGAGCATGGGGCGGCCTCTGGGGTTGGCTGGGAGGAAGTCGTGGGACATCCGGTGCAGCAGATGAGGATCAAGGGCAGGTCGATAGCAATGGTGCGGCGACTGGTGGTGGAGCTGACAGGGGTGCTGGTGGTGGAGCTGACAGGGGTGCTGGTGGTGGGAAGGCCCAGGGTACAGATGCTGTACGCACGGAGAGCAGTGGCAGGTTCACAAGTGGCCACGAAGCTGATAGGGAGGGTGGTGGTGGGGATGGGAGTGGTAGAAGTCGTACTGGTCGTGGTGGTGATGGTGCATGCAGTGGTGAAAGTGCTTCTTCTTCTCCCGCTCTTCCTCGGCGCTGGTTCGTGCTTCTCGATGCTGCCAAAGCTGCTGCTTCGGACCCTCCAGACCTCTCGCTCTGCCCTGCTGACTTTGTTGCTCTTTCCTTCTACAAGGTGAGATATCCTTATCCCGCTTTCGACCCCTCTCCTTCTCCACCGCTTCTGCCCGGCGCTGGTTCGTGCTTCTCAATGCCGCCAAAGCTGCTGCTGATGAGAGTAGTAGGAGTCCTAGTGGCAGTGGTGGTGGTGGTGTATCCAGTAGTGAAGGCGCTTCTTCTCCCGCTCTTCCTCGGCGCTGGTTCGTGCTTCTTGATGCTCCCAAAGCTGCTCCCTCGGACCCTCCGGACCTATGCCACTGCCCCGCTGACTTCGTTGCACTCTCCTTCTACAAGGTGGGTTGCCCCCTCCTCCCCATGCCCCCTCCTCCCCATGCCCCCTCCTCCCCATGCCCCCTCCTCCCCATGCCCCCTCCTCCCCATGCCCCCTCCTCCCCATGCCCCCTCCTCCCCATGCCCCCTCCTCTGAATCCTCTCCATGCCTCCCGCCCTCCGGACCTCTCCCACTGCGCCCTGCGGACTTCGTTGCACTCTCCTTCTACAAGGTGGGTAGGCTGTCTCTACCCCTCTTCATTTCTCTCCACCCCTCTCCACCTTTCCACACCACCCACTGCCCTGCTAACTTTGTCACACTCTCCTTCTACAAGGTGGGTGGCAGCCTCCTGACTTCTCCGTTTTTCCTTTTCTCCATACTCCCTCCTATCCCCTCATCATTCTGTCATTGTGATTCTCTGCTAACTTCTCTTCTCTCTGCCTCATTACCTGACTAGCGCTTCCTTACAGCTCCTCACTCCAAGTGGTAACCATCTCTCGCCTTCACCCTTGTTGTCCCGCTATAAGCAGATCTTTGGATTTCCTACAGGGCTTGGGGCGCTTATCATCCGGCGAGGTATGTATGTCCTCTTCCTTTCATATGCTTCATTCTTCTTACACGCTTCTTCTCAGATGCTTCTCACTTCCCTTCCCGTATGCTTCTTGCTTCTCATATGCTTCTTCCCAGGTGCTTCTTTCTATGCCTCATCTCATCTTCCCGCAACCCTTGATCCCATCTTTCAACTAACTGCCTTTCTCTCATCCTCATCCCTTGTCTCCCTCCTCTTCCGACTTTCTGTGCATATCTCTTTCTTCTCACTCCCAGATGCTGCCTTCATCCTCCACAAGCCCTACTTCAGTGGAGGTACGGCGAGTAGCATGCGCTCGGTGGCATGTGAATGACACGGTGACAGTGGTAGCAGAGGTGACAGGGCTAGTAGCAAGTAGCATGATGACTCTGCATGGCAACTTGTGCCCCTCTCATTCAGATGCTGCCTTCATCCTCCACAAGCCCTACTTCAGTGGAGGTACGGCGAGTAGCATGCGCTCGGTGGCATGTGAATGACACGGTGACAGTGGTAGCAGAGGTGACAGGGCTAGTAGCAAGTAGCATGATGACTCTGCATGGCAACTTGTGCCCCTCTCATTCAGATGCTGCCTTCATCCTCCACAAGCCCTACTTCAGTGGAGGTACGGCGAGTAGCGTGCGCTCGTTAACAGTCATGTGATAGTTGTCATCACTAGAAGCACGTAGGGAGTACTTCACAGTGCACACTCCCTTTCCTCCACATCCCTTCTTTCGGCACAACCTTTTGTCTCTCCTTCCCTCCGTCCCTCCCCTTCCCCTTTACAAGCAACGTGTTTGCAGACTCTGACTTTGTCTCTCTGCGCTCATCACTCGAAGCACAGTGGGAGGACGGCACCCAGCCTTTCCTCCACCTCTCCCCTTCGACACATCCTTTCTCCAGCACTCTCACCCCTCTTCCCCCCCCTCCCCCCTCACAGGCACCGTGGCAGCAGTGTTTGCAGACTCCGACTTTGTCTCTCTGCGCCCATCGCTAGAAGCACAGTGGGAGGACGGCACCCAGCCTTTCCTCCACCTCTCCCCTTCGACACATCCTTTCTCCAGTACTCTCACCCCTCTTCCCCCCCCTCCCCCCTCACAGGCACCGTGGCAGCAGTGTTTGCAGACTCCGACTTTGTCTCTCTGCGCCCATCGCTAGAAGCACAGTGGGAGCACGGCACTCTCCCCTTCCTCCAGCTCGCAGCAGAGCTCCCTCCAGGCTTAGCCCTGGTCACCCGCCTCTCCTTCTCTGCCATACAACGGTGAGCCCCGAACATTCAATGGAGAGCCGTGATCACCCAGTTGATGCCTCCTGGTGGGAAAACTGTGTTACCCGCCTGTTTTCCTGGAAGCACAGTGGGAGGACGGCACTCTGCCCTTGGTCTCGCAGCAGCAGAGCTCCCTCCGGGCCTCGCCCTGGTCTCCCGCCTCTCCTTCTCTGCCATCCACGGTGAGCATCGCGCCCCTCCCCTCCTGGTGTTTGTTGCGAGTCTGTATTTTCGAGTCAGAGTAGGTGGGAGCACGGCACTCTCCTCTCCCTTTCCTCCAGCTAGCAGCAGAGCCCCTTCCGGGCCTCGCGCTGGTCTCACGCTTCTCCTTCTCTGCCATTCAGCGGTGAGCCCTTACCATTCCTCCAGCTCGCGGCAGAGCTCCCTCCAGGCCTTGCTCTGGTCTCCTGTCTCCCCTTCTCCACCATCCAACGGTGAGTCCTTATCACCCAGTCTATGCCTCCTGTTCTTGGTGTTTGTTTGCTACCAGCCTGTACTCTTGGAAGCACAGTGGGAGCACGGCACTCTCCCCTTCCTCCACCTCGCAGCAGAGCTCCCTCCGGGCCTCGCCCTGGTCTATCACCTCTCCTCACAGCTGAGCAGAGCGAATTGGTTTGCTTATGGGCGATGGCGCGCAGGGGGGTCTCGGACAGATGAGGGCTCGCACAGGTGAGGACAGGTGAGGGCTCGCACAGGTGAGGACAGGTGAGGGACGGCTGGGATCTTAGCCACCCCATGGGCAGCCACGTCTCCTCTTCACTCTTCACCGCCTCTTGCTGCTGCTGCTGCAGAGTCTTGAGGCGTCTCAACACTTGCTTTCCCCTCCATTTCTGTTGCCTCCTCAACCCCTACAGCCACGTCTCGTTTCTTGCACTCTTCACCGCCTCTCGCCTCCTCTCCCTCCGACACTGCAACGGCCAGCCCGTTTGCGTCGTGTATGGAAGGCACAGGGCTTTGTTGCTGCATCTTGAAAAGAGCAGAGTCGTGAATCGGGAGAGGCGAGAGACTTCTGATTCGATTGAGAAGAATGGAGTGGTGGATTTGCAGGGAGGAGAGGAGGAACGAGAGGCAGTGTTGAAGCAGCAGGGGGGGGTGGTGGCGTTTAACCTGAAGCGCAGTGATGGGTCGTGGGTGGGGCACAAGGAGGTGGAGAAGCTGGCAGCCATCCACAGCATTCATCTCCGGGTATGTATGCTCTTGACCTCTAAAGTCGGATTCAACCTGAGGCACAGCATGGGTGGTGGATGGGACACGAGGAGATGGAGAAGCTAGCTGGCATCCCCAACATTCAACTCCTAGTAACAAGAAGTAGCAGCAAATGCATGCATATCCACAGCAGTTGACGGATCTTAGTCGCAGCGATGGGTGGTGGGTGGGGCATAAGGAGGTTGAGAAGCTAGCGGCCATCCATCTCCGAATGAAGTGCGCCCGATTGCTGGGATAACACTAAATAACCCGGTTGCTTTTGCCATCAATTCTTATCCTCCCCTCTTCTCCCATATATCATACCGGTTGCTTTTGCAAACCGTGCGCCTGTGCAAAGCACCTTCACTTGTCTCATCCCCACCCCCTCCGAAACTACGAGGCGGGGCACGTGTGGTGGGATGACAACGATGTGATTGCTCCACTCCAACCCTCCCTTTCACACCCACCTCCCCCCCTATCTACCAGACTGGTTGTTTCTGTAACCCGGGTGCCTGCGCCAAGCACCTCCACTTGTCTCATCCCCACCCCCTCCGAAGCTACGAGACGGGGCACGTGTGCTGGGATGACAACTGTTGTGCAGCAAGTATTTCCCAGTGCGTAGTTTCTCACCTTTGGTCTTAGAGGTCGTGGGTTCATCTCTTCAGCAGCTGCACTTTCCATTCTCATTATGCTCACCATTACATGTCTACACTCCACGACACTCACTCATGCTCGGTACTTGAGTGGTGGAGTGTGGACATGTGATGGTGAGCAAATGAGAATGGAAACTGCAGCTGCAGAGAGTTGAACCCACGACCTCTAAGACCAAAGGTGAGAAACTACCAACTGTGACATATTTGCTGCTCAACACCCAACAACGATGTGATTGCTCCACTCCAACCCACCCTTTCACACCCACCTCCCCCCTTATCTACCAGACTGGTTGTTTCTGCAACCCTGGTGCCTGTGCCAAGCACCTGCGCCTCTCCCACTCCCAACTCCTCGAGAATTACGAGGCAGGGCACGTGTGTTGGGACGACAACAACGTGATTGCCGGGCGGCCGACTGGCGCCGTGATTTTTCCGATCAGTCCCTTCCTCCCCTCTCCCACATGCGACAGACCGGTTGTTTCTGCAACACAGGAGACTGTGCCAAGCACCTGCGCCTCTCCCACTCCCACCTCCGCCAAAATTACGGAGGCGAGGCATGTGTGTTGGGATGACAACGACGTGATTGGCTACTGCAATCCCATCACCATTCTTCCTCTTTTTCTTGTTCCCCCATGCACCAGACTGGTTGCTTCTGCAACCCAGGAGCCTGTGCCAAGCACCTGCGCTTGTCTCATGCCCAACTCCTCGAAAACTACGAGGCGGGGCACGTGTGCTGGGATGACAATGACGTGATTGCCGGGCGGCCGACTGGCGCCGTGCGGATCTCCTTTGGACACCTGTCAACCATTGATGACGTGGAGGTGAGCTGGGCAGAGTTGAGTGCCTGTTTCTTCAGCTATATCTCGTTTGGACACCTGTCAACTTTTGCCGCCGATGCGGAGCTCGTTTGGATTAAGTTGAGTGCCTGTTTGTCCATCAAATTTCCTTTCAACAATACTTCTGTCGAAAGTTTCCTGTCCACTGCTATTCACCTCTTTCTTTTTCTTTTTCCATTTTTTCAGATTTTTTTTTTATATATATTTGATCAAAGATCGTTGTCATCTGAAATAAATTTTTTTTTTCCTGGCCTTGTTGCATCCTCCTCTTCTGCCCGATGCAAACCCGAAACCCCACTGTCTGCCCCAACACAAAACCCCCCTCGCCCACCCGCACCTGTTGTCCAAATGCTGCAGGCCTTCCTCTCCTTAATCCAGACATGCTTTGTGGAGCTTTGAGACGTCTCAAATTGTTGAGGTGTCTCAAATTCCCAACGCAAACCTCTCACACGCACCCATTGTCCAAATGCTGCAGGCGTTCCTCTCCTTCATCCAAACGTGCTTTGTGGAGCTGCCACGTCAGCACACTCCACCTCAGCACGCCACCTCTGCTGCCTCTGCTGCTTCTGCCGCTACCGCTGCCACCGCTGCCGTTTCCTCTTCTGTGTCTGCTTCTACAGCCGCTACAGCCGCTGTTGCTGCTACAGCCGCTACAGCCGCTGTTGCTGCTACTGCCGCTACAGCCGTTGTTGCTACTGTTGCTGCTGCCGAGAAGAAGCTGGATATAGGGCGTTTCACTAATGGAATAGCAAGCCATTTGGAGCATCGGGAGGAGCTTGCACAAGCAGATGTGGCTAAGGAGAATCTTTCGCGAGCACGTGCGCCTGCACAAAGTGTGACTATAGAGGGGCTGTTTGTGTATCCGATCAAGTCGTGTGCTCCCATGCGAGCGCAAGCATGGCCGCTGGGGCCCACTGGTGAGTCCGCCTTCAGAGCTTAGAAATAGTGCTTTGCTGCTTAGATGTGCCTGCACGGAGTGTGACTGTAGAGGGGCTGTTTGTGTATCCGATCAAGGCCTGTGCTCCCATGCGAGTCGAAGCATGGCCTCTTGGACCCATGGGTGAGTCCCTGATATTTTAAGGTATAGAGCGGTATAGTGTGGTTAGGGGTAATAGTTTGCTGTATAGCATGCATTGAGTTGTGTGTCCTGTGATCCCTTGCGAGTGGAAGCATGGCCACTTCGTTGGATCCACTGGTAATTCCCATGCCATTCCATGCCATGCCATGCCATGCCACCCATGCCATCCCATGCCATCCCATGCCATCCCATGCCACCCATGCCATGCCACCCTCCCATGCCACCCTCCCATACCATCAGGTCTGCTGCATGACCGGGAATGGCTTATCATCAATCCCATGGGCGCTCCACTGAGGCCCAACAGGGTGAGCACTGAGCAGCCAACACTGCCAGCAGTAGCATCTCCTCTCTCTTTGCTGCCTCCAATCCCCATCCGATTGCTTTGCACCGCACTGAACCTCCCTGAGTGGCATAACATCAGTGCCCCTGGGAGTGGCCCTTGGGTTGGGCATACCGTTGAGGGCCAGCTGGGTGAGCAGAGCACTGAACAACTAGCATTCTCATGATTCATGGGTACTCCTTTTTAGGCCCAAACGGATGAGCACTTCATCGCGCTTCACCGCACGTCACCGTAGGTCACCGCGTGTCACCGCACATCCTCCGCACCCCCCTTCTTCCCCCACACAATAAGGCTCCTTCCTTCAACCGCTTCCGTCAATCCATCACCTCATCTCTCACCTCCTCTCCATCAACCTGGCTCCTCAAAAGTGTCTCATTTCGCTTCCTCCTCTCTCCCCACCCCCACAACCCCGCCACACGGCTAGGTCCCATCTCTCTACCGCCTCCGCCCATCCATCGACCTCGCTTCACGCCTCCTCTATCCACCTGAGTCATCAGAACTTTCCCATTTTGTTTCTTTCCTCCACCCTCCCTACAATCAGGTCCCCTCACTCTACAGCCTCCGCCCATCCATCAACCTCGCTTCACGCCTCCTCTCCATCCACCTTACTCCCCAAGGCTCTCCTCCTGCCCAGTCTCCCCTCCAATTACCTCTTGACACGTGGCCTGATGCCAGGCTGGATGGCGTGCGAGTGTGCGGTGACAGGTGCGTGGGTGGGTGTGGTGTGGATGGGTGTATATGGGTGTATAGAGGTGTACGCGTGTATGGGTGTCTTGACATGCATTTATGTTCATAGGCTGCAGCAGACATGGTAGGATGGATAGGGTGCAAGTGTGTGGTGACAGGTGTGTGGCTGGGTGTGATGTGGATGGGTGTATGTGGTTGTATATGGGTGTTCACGGTGTGTATGAGAGTACTGACTTTCGGCCCTGTCTCACCTCCAATTGCCCATTGACACGTGGCCTGACGCCAGGTTGGATGGGTGCGAGTGTGCGGTGACAGGTGCATGGCTGGGTATGGTTGTGTCTGTGACTGTGGCTGCATGTGCATTTGTATGGGCTGGAGCATACTTGCCAGGCTGGATGGGGTGCGCATGTGCGGTGACAAGTGTGGGGCTGGGTGTGGTAATCTCTGTTTCCGTGGCATCACGTTGATCTTGAGACGTCTAAAGACAAATTCAACTATACGTGGTTCTGTCTTTAGAGACACATGTATCCTTGCAAGATTTTTTTGAGAATACTCAAGCATCATGGTGCCTTAGATACACGTACATGGGCATGCCCGTGTCACACATGTGTGTCTTTGCATGATGGAAAGGTCCCTCATTTTCAATTACTCTCCTCACTCACGCGCTCTCATTCCCCATCACTCGTCTCTCACTCACTCAATCGCTCTCTCACTCACTCACTCATGCACTCACTCACTTGCTCACTCGCTCACTCACTCACTCACTCACTCACTCCATCTCCTCCATCGTGTTGTCCCCTTATCATCCACACCAGCGTCCACGTGGCAGTGTACCCTGCTGACGTGGCAGCCTGGCTCTCCGCCGCTCTCGGCACGCCATGTCAGCTTGTGAGGCTCCTTCCGCACGCCCGCCAGCAGAAGAAGCTGCCTAGAAGCATCCTCAGCAGTCAGGACAACACCAGAACCAATCAGATCAGTGAAAATCAATCCAGCCGTAACGAATCTTCCCAATCCGCATCCTCCTCCCACTCCTATTCCTCCTCTCCCTCCTCTTCCCCCTCTCTCTCGCTAGCCAATGAGGCTCAGCTGCTAGTGCTCTCATCTGCTAGTCTGGCTGATCTTTGGAGGAGAGTGGCACATGGGACAGAGGGGGAGCTGATGGCAGGAGATGGAGGGAAAACAGATGGGAGAACAACAGGAGTGGATAAACCTTTGCAAAATAAGCAAGTCAAATCTGGTCCCTTGCCGTTGCTAGGGTCTCATTCTGCTGCGCTTCCTTGCTGCCCTGCCGATTGGAGCCTGAGGCTCGGTAACCCTACCGAACCTAATGGTCTGGACTCAGGCTCGGGGATGGATCAAGCTTATCCAGCACCAGCAGCAGCAGCATCTGCCACGTCAGCAGGGTCATCTCAGGCTGCTGACGTGGACAGAGATGTGGAAGCAGATGCCTCGTGGGCATTGCGGTTTCGCCCCAACATTGTGGTGGGCGGTGCTGACGTGGCGCCATACGATGAGGACAGGTGGAAGCAGCTGGTTGGTCAAGATGCTTCCTTTGAGGTGAGCAGTGCTTAACTTGATGGTGCTGATTTTCATTCATTGGTTTTTTTTTGTTTTAATTGGCATTTTGGCTGTTCATCATCAACCCCCTTGTTCCCCTCTCTATATCTTCCCCTTCTTGATTCACCCATCACACTATGTCACACAGACTCACGCTTTTCAACACAAAAATAATCACACATTCCATGTCTCCTCGGTTGTCCATTTCAACATTCCTCCCTCCCTCCTCCTCCTCGCCTCACCAAATCCTTCCCTCCAGTCCCTTGCTCCCTGCAGCGAGTTTGCCATCATCAACACAGACCCTGCCACAGCTGTAATCGATCTATCCTACTTTCCTCTTTTCTTAGTCCTCTCTCCACCCCCTCTCCCTCCCTGTACCAATTTTCCTTCAGTCCCTTGCTCCCTGTAGCAGGTGTGCCATCATCAACACAAACCCTGCCACCGGCCAATCATCAGCACCTGAGCCTCTTCGGACCCTATCTGGTTACCGCAGGCACAAGGCAAACATCAACTTCGGTGTCCTCTTTACAGTCAAACTCCACCAAGTGCTCAGCACAGAAACTAGTGTGTTGTACCCAGACTCGTTGGTGAATGGGGCAAATGTAGCGCCTGGTACTAGGACTGAAGGAGGTCCATTGGTATCTGTAGGTCAAAGTTTTGCAATCATGTATGGATGATTTGTTCAAAAACATTTACGTGCTGACTGGATCCCTCATAGATTTAAAGTTGATTGGATAAAAAACTACATGGATTTAAAGAGATTATCCTCGCTTCGGTAATGAAAACGGACATGTGAGCCATTTAGCTCAAGTTGCCCTTCTCATCAGGTTAATAATCGAGACAATGATTTCCTGCATTTCGAGACAATAGTGGTCTACTCAATGGAGGGAATAGTTTTGTGTCTCCATCCGACCAAATTTACGAACCTGCTTGGGGCAAGGAAATCTGACAATGTGGACCGGTGTTTCATCGCGATTGGGGGGTCAGGTTGCTTTCGGGCTTGGCCGATGGGGTTGCTCCCTCCTGCCTGAACTGGAAGCTGGGAGCATTCCTGGGGGCCTGGCTCCACGTCAGCAGAAAATCCGCGCCTGCGAATGGCGTCCCTCGTGGTGGCACGCTTCGGATGCCGTCACCCATTCCCAATGACCACGTCACGTATTCAAGCTCGTCTTATGTGGGGAGTGTACGCTACAATCGAGACGGCGTCTTTTCTCAGTAGCTAGCAGCTGATTTTGCAATCCTTGTTGACGTTTAGTTCGTACCAAATATATATAATTGCAGTTTTTCTCTGAGATGACATTAAGAGTCGAACTTAAGACGTATCTATCTTGCCACGTGACGGCGCGCTGTCAATGTAAACAGGTCTCTCAACCCAGATCTTTGAGTGTGCAGGGGAGTGCACTGGCCTATACCCCATCTCTTCAGAATACAATCACTACCCTCCTAAATTCTCCCCACACTTCAATACCCCTTTAGGGGACTACAAGGCCTATTACTGGCACGTTTGTGAACAGTCGTTACCACTTTGGCTCAGAGAAAAGAACTCTTTGAAGCCCCTCCTGTTCACACGTGCCAGTCAGACGCCATGGCTCTCTCCCTGTGCGCGAAGTCGAGCCTCGTCTCGGCCGCTGGCCTGCAGCAGCGCGGCGCTGCCCTGGAGAGAAGGCAGACCGGCGCCTCGCTCTCAGCGTCGCTCGCCCACTCAGCCGCTGCTCCTTCGTTTAAGGCTTTCGATGGCATGCGCGCTAACTCAACCTTCTCCTCCGCCTCTTCATTCCTGTCCGGCGCTAAAGTTGCTGCGCCTGTGGCCGCGGAGGCTCCGGCTGCTGCCGCTGCTGAGAAGGGTTTCACCCTGACCATTGTGGCGGGCAGGAACAGCAAGAAGATTCAAGGAAGGAAGCTCCGCGTCGCCGGTGAGTAACGGCCGCTATCATATTTTCCGGAGCGAACAACATTAGTCGATGACTTCAGATTCGTGACTGTCCCAGATCGTGTCCTAAATTGCACATTACTTTGAATTCCACCATATACTCCACCAGGATTGCCCTCTGGCAACTAAAACTACCACGGCATTCTTCCTTCCCTCTTCCTGAATGCAATTAGTTTTCCTGTTTTACCAACTTCCAACCTTAACAAAGATTTCCGGATTTCTTTTACACAGTTATCGGAGGCGGCCCGGCCGGCGGTTGCGCGGCGGAGACTCTGGCGGAGAACGGCATCGAGACTTTCCTCATTGAGCGCAAGCTCGACAACGCCAAGCCGTGCGGTGGAGCCATCCCCCTTTGCATGGTCGACGAATTTCAGGTAACTTCCTTTCGCTAACTTCGCGAATCACTGTGCGACGGAGACGCTGGCGGAGAACGGCATCGAGACGTTCCTCATTGAGCGCAAGCTCGACAACGCCAAGCCCTGCGGTGGTGCCATCCCCCCTCTGCATGGTCGACGAGTTCCAGGTAGCCCCATTTTCGCTTGCTTTTGTGCGAAGTTTTTATGAGATTTGGGTGTCTGATCTCCTGTTTCTGTTTCTCTAGAGTCTTCGAATTACGATTTTCGTGATGTAATTGGATCCGCTTCGTCAATGCTCCTAGCTGGTTTTGCAACGACGGAGCAAGTAACTCCGAGGCGCCTCACAAATAGTGAATGCGTTTACTTTAATGCGGCCGTTCAGCTCCGTCTGCTAGGCACATTCTGAGATGAAAATATTATTCCATCCCCTTGCAACGTGGACGCCAACGTAGGCTCTACCCTCGGCGTTAAGGAGTACACATTCTGAATCCCTCGCGTCATGAATTCCACTCCTCGATCTCTCTTCCACTTTCTCCTCCGTTTTAATCCGATCTTTCCTGCCTGCAGCTGCCGCAGGAGAGCATTGAGAGGAGCGTGTTACTTGCCAATATAATATCGCCCTCCAACGTCGAGGTGTTTCCTCACATCTCTCCCTCCTTTTCCCATCTCCCTTCTTTTCTTCCTCCCTTGCAGCTGCCACAGGAGATCATCGACAGGCGCGTGACCAAGATGAAGATGATTTCCCCATCCAACGTCGAGGTCGACGTGGGGCGCACGCTCGGCAAGGAGGAGTACATCGGCATGGTGCGCCGCGAGGTGCTCGACGCCTTCCTGCGCAACCGCGCCCAGTCTTACGGCGCGTCGGTCATCAACGGGCTGTACCTGAGGATGGACGTGCCCAAGGACGACGACAGCCCCTACGTCATCCACTACTCCGACTACGCCGGCGACTCCAAGGTTCGTGCCTTGAGTCGGAGTGAGCGTTGCACTTTGCGAGGGCATTCCATTGTGAGCGCGACGGTTACCAACGGGCTGTATTGCCCAAGGATGACGACAGCCCCTACATCATCCACTACTCCGACTACGCCGGCGACTCCAAGGTTTGTACGAGCCGAGCCAGTCACAAGGCGCTTCCGGATGTTCCCACGGTTCGATGGTAACCGGTCGTGTGGCTGGCTCGTGCGCGTCGTGCCGCTTGGCCGCGTGGCTTCGTAAGCCGGGCAAGGACTGGCGTTCTTTGCTTTAGCGACTAGGAAACCTTGGATTGTCTGCCGGCTTTCGAATCCAGTCCGGCTGTCTGGCTATCTGTCTTCTCTTGCGGATCTGTCACAAAGATATTTTGATCGTTGTTTGCTGACGTGTCTTATCACATCTGTGTGATTGCTGTCCTGCCTTGCGATTGGTCAATGCAGGTCGGCGTGCCCAAGACTCTCGAGGTCGACGCCGTGATCGGCGCTGACGGCGCCAACAGCAGGGTGGCCAAGGACATCGACGCGGGTGACTACGACTACGCCATTGCCTTCCAGGTGAGGACACACGCTTCAATCTTGGTGTATCTATTAGTGTACTACTGAGGTTCATCCGAGGTGTCTCGAAAGCCAACGGCAGAGTGGCCAAGGACATCGACGCGGGCGACCACGACTACGCCATTGCCTTCCAGGTAAGGTCACATGCTTCAGCGTTCCGCGACTCTATGTGTTACGAGGATCTCGCGGAGATGTACGCTTTTGAGTAAACTCAAAAGCAGTATGTAGTACGAGGATCTCGCGGAGATGTACGCTTTTGAGTAAACTCAAAAGCAGTATGTAGTTCGAGGATCTCACGGTGATGTATGTGGGCGATGACTCCTGATGACTCACTCTACCCTACCTTACTCACTCTACCGTATCCTAGTGTACCCTACTCTACCGCACCTCACAGGAGCGTATCCGTCTGCTCTGCCGGAGGACAAGATGGCGTACTACGAGGATCTCGCTGAGATGTACGTGGGCGATGACGTGTCGCCCATTGACTCACTCTACCCTACCGTACCCCACTCTACCCTACTCTATCGCGCCCCACAGGAGCGCATCCGCCTGCCAGAGGACAAGATGGCGTACTACGAGGATCTTGCGGAGATGTACGTGGGTGATGACGTGTCGCCCGACTTCTACGGCTGGGTGTTCCCCAAGTGCGACCACGTGGCGGTCGGCACCGGTACGGTCATCAACAAGCCCGCCATCAAGCAATACCAGACCGCCACCAGGTGAGCACGCGCGTGCTATCAATGATTCAACGGGTTACAGCTGGCTTATTATCACCAGTGAGCCCGACTCGACTTCTACGGCTGGGTGTTCCCCAAGTGCGACCACGTGGCGGTCGGCACTGGCACGGTTATCAACAAGCCCGCCATGAAGCAATACCAGACCGCCACCAGGTGTGTTGGGACCTTATAATGCCCGGGCCTCTTTCCCCACACTCCATGCTGCCTTTCCGACACGGATTGTGCCAAGGACTAATTGAGGGAGGCAAGATCTGGTCACCCCATCCCCGAGCACCCCCACCCCCGTCGGTCAATCTTTCAGGCGTTCACACTCTCTCAACAACACGCATTTTATCTGAGCATCTCTCTCCACACTTCCTGCCGCCTTTCTCTCCCCCTCAAGAACCGGGCCAAGGACAAAATCGAGAGCGACAAGATCATCCGCGGGGAGGCGCACCCCATCCCCGAGCATCCCTGCCCATCCCTGTCAGTCGTTGAGGCATCTCACTTCCTGTTCTTCCCACCCTGCTTACCGTCGTTTGTCCCTCAGGAACCGCGCCAAGGACAAAATCGAGGGCGGCAAGATCATCCGTGTGGAGGCTCACCCCATCCCCGAGCACCCCCGCCCCCGCCGGACCTCCAACCGCGTAGCTCTCGTTGGCGACGCTGCTGGCTACGTCACCAAGTGCTCAGGCGAGGTGTGTTGCTGCTGAGTGATGGGGTTGAGCAATGCGTGTGTAATGCCACAATCCCTGGTGCCTTTTGACATTCAACCGCGTGGCTCTCGTTGGCGACGCTGCTGGCTACGCCACCAAGTGCTCAGGCGAGGTGTGTTGCTGCTGAGTGATGGGGTTGAGCAATGCGTGTGTAATGCCACAATCCCTGGTGCCTTTTGACATTCAACCGCGTGGCTCTCGTTGGCGACGCTGCTGGCTACGCCACCAAGTGCTCAGGCGAGGTGTGTTGCTGCTGAGTGATGGGGCTGAGCAATGCGTGTGTATGTAATGCCACAATCCCTGGTGCCTTTTGACATTCCACCGCGTGGCTCTCGTTGGCGATGCTGCTGGCTACGCCACCAAGTGCCCAGGCGAGGTGTGTTGCTGCTGAGTGATGGGGTTGAGCAATGCGTGTGTATGTAATGCCACAATCCCTGGTGCCTTATGACGTTCAACCGCGTGGCTCTGGTTGGCAACGCTGCTGGCTACGTCACCAAGTGCTCAGGCGAGGTGCGTTGCTGCTGAGTGATGGGGTCTGTGCTGTTCCGCAGTTTGGTGTTGCACGATTTGAGATTGGGAAAGGGCATGCGCATGGCATGGTGCACGAGACCCCCAGTCTCAAAACGTGACACATGGCACCCATGGGGGTCTGTGTTGCACGCATGGCATGGTGCACGAGACCCCCAGTCCCCTTCGGCTGTATCCATTTCACACTCCAGCTTACCCATTTCTCCACTTTCCATCCCCCATTCCCCCACTGTCCATGCGCCAAGCTGGAGCGTATGGCAGCAGAGGCGATCTTGGAGGGGTTTGAGAAGGGCACTGGCATGGTGGACAAAACGTCAAGGCCGCTTGCTGCCCTGCCCCCAAGCCCGCCCTTGTCACCCGTGCCGTACGTTGTGCTCACCCTTAGCACTGCTCTCCACCTCCCATCACACCACTCTCCACCCCCCAGGGCATCTACTTTGCGGCCAAGTCGGGGCGCATGGCAGCAGAGGCGATCGCTGAGGGGTCTGAGAAGGGCACGCGCATGATCGACGAGTCTGACCTGCGTGTGTACCTGGACAAGTGGGACAAGAAGTACTGGGCCACCTACAAGGTGAGGATCTCTTTTGATTGGATTAGGTTGGGATTGCCCTTCATTCTAACTCCTTTCATTGTAGGAGCAGCTTGGTAGGTTGAGTGGATATGTCTGGATGAGATGCTCGTGTATGGTGGATGAGTCTGACCTGCGTGTGTACCTGGACAAGTGGGACAAGAAGTACCGGGCCACCTACAAGGTGAGGTCCTTCATTGACACTTCTTTCATTGTAGGAGCAGTTTGGTAGGTTGTGAGTGCCATCTTTCTGGACAAGAGGCACTTGCATGGTGATCGAGAGAGACCTACGTGTGTACCTGGACAAGTGGGACAAGAAGTACTGGGCCACCTACAAGGTGAGAAGAGTTGAATGGATTCGGCTGAGAGTTGAAACGTACTTCATTGCATGGTGAACGAATCTGGCCTGCATTTGTCTGGGCATGTGAGACAATAGGTACTGGGCCACCTACAAGGTCAACTTTTCCTTTTTCTGTAAGTTGAAAGAGGCTCAGTTAAGGTAGTAGAAAAGGCTTCGTTTGGTTTTCCGCTGTTCCATTCTAATGTGTTAGTGTACTTTTTCCAACCTTTTTCCTTGTTTCTCAGGTGCTGGACATTCTCCAGAAGGTGTTTTACCGCTCCAACCCCGCGCGCGAGGCGTTCGTGGAGATGTGCGCGGACGACTACGTGCAGAAGATGACGTTCGACAGCTACCTGTACAAGACGGTCGTGCCGGGCAACCCCCTCGATGACCTCAAGCTGGCCGTCAACACCATCGGCAGCCTGATCCGCGCCAATGCTCTCCGCAAGGTTGCCCTCGAGAAGGCCTAAATGTCACTGGAATTGGAATAGTTTAGATGTGTATACAGGCTACACTACATTGTTGCATTTACATCAACTCTGCAAATCACAAAGCCTTGGAAACAAATATACTGCGTGAGCACATAACGCGATCAGGACTACGTGTAAAAGCTGATGTTCGACAGCAACCGTACCTCTACGAGACGGTCGTGCCGGGCAACCCCCTTGGAGACCTCAAGCTTGCTGTCAACACCACCGGCAGCCTCATTCGCGCTAATGCTCTGTGCAAGTTTGCCCTCGAGAAGGCCTAGAGTGCTATGGTTCTGAATACGGTATTCTAGATGTGTATACTGGTTATGTCAAACTTATATTGTTATCTGTTGTTAGAGTGTATTCCTATCCTCCGTATCAAGAGAACCTCATATCAAGATAGTACTTTTTGCCTGGTAAAACAAGCGAGAGATTTTGGGCTTAGGGGAATTTTCAGTGGGAGGTTGATATGAGATTCTTTTGATACGAGGTTAGGAATACGATCTTAGGCTATAGTGGGGCTAGCCTTATGGGGTACACAACTTAAGGGTTTCTGTTACGAGTGCAATTGAGTGAACGAACGAGAATTGCACTATCGAAGCAAGAGTACAATGTGTGAAGGCATGAGCAAAGAATATATAGCGAAACTATAGTGGTAACGGTAATGTGTGGAAAATGGGGTGCGCGACGGGCCTAGCGGCGAGGTTGGGAAGTGTCGAGGCGGAGGTCCGGAGTGCGGGTTACCAACCGAACCGTGAGGTTGGGTCGCGTCGTGACTAGTGGCGGAAACAGTGTCAAGACGAGTTGTCAGAATGTGATGTTTGTATAGCCTGCAGTGGGGTAGTCTATGGCGAGTACAACCCAATTAGGGTTTCCCATATGTATCTCATATGCTGCTTGTGAAAACCCCCTTTCCTGTTTCTGATTCTTGCCCAGTATTTCAACATGCTATCAGAGCAGGTCGACCCTCCTGGGTCGATCCTGTAGGTGGGCCCCACCCGATGCTTCCGCTGCTCTACTGCCTGTAGCGCGCCCCGGGCGCGCGCTGTTTTCTTCCTGCCGTGCGCTCGGAGCGCGCAGCGTGAGCGCGCGGCGGTTTTCTGCCCTGCCCGCCGAGCGCCCCGGGAGCGCGTGGCGGTTTCCTGCCCCGGTGACCCGCGCGTCGCCCTCCGTCGCCCGACGCGGCCCGCGCGACCTGCGCCAGGCCTGCGCGCGGCCCGTACAGGCGCTGCGCGCGCGCGGCCCGGGCAGCCCGCGCGCGGTTCGTTCCTCCTGCGCCAGGCCCGTGCGCGGCCCATACAGTCTGCCCCAGTGCCGCACGCTATCCCCCGAGCTTCTGACCGCGCCCCACCCCCGCTGCTACCCGTGCTCCTGTGTTAGGGTTTGGGGGTGGAGAGTATGGGGGTGCCGGGTGTGTGAGCCGTCCCCTGCTCCTCCTCCTCCTCCGTCTCCCACTGCTGCAGCTGCCGCTGAGGGGGGTGGATGTGTTGGAGCCGTCGGAGTGGTACGAGGGGGGTGGCGTGTGAGCAATGCTAGAGGTTCAGCAGGGAGTGTGTGAAAGGGGTGTGGGACAGTTGGGGGAGGTTGACCGGAGGTAGCCGATGTCAGAACATTATAGCTTTTGCTTTTGTGTAGGCTATAGTGGGGTATCCCATAGGGGGTACAACCCAATTAGGGTTAGTACTTGTACCCACTTCATTCATAGTTCATTCATTCACTTCTTCACATGGAATCAGAGCAGGTCCCCTCCTAGGGACTGTTCCCAGGGCCCACCGAAGCGCGCCCCGAGGCGCGCGTTCCTTTTTTTTTCGCGACCCTCCGTGTCGCCCCTAGCGGCCCGTTACGCCGCCCTTACCTACGCGGCCCCGCCGCCCTTACCTACGCGGCCCCGCCGCCCTTACGTCGCGGCCCCGCCGCCCTCACGTCGCGGCCCCGACGCCCTCACGTCGCGGCCCCGCCGCCCTCACCTCGCGGCCCCGCCACCCTCACGTCGCGGCCCCGCCGCCCTCACGTTGCGGCCCCACCGCCCTTACGTCGCGGCCCCGCAGCCCTCACGTCGCGGCCCCGCCGCCCTCACGTCGCGGCCCCGCCGCCCTCACGTTGCGGCCTCGCCGCCCTTACGTCGCGGCCCCGCCGCCCTCACGTCGCGGCCCCGTCGCCTCACCTTCGCGGCCTCGCCGCCCTCACCTTCGCGGCTCCGCCGCCCTTACCTACACGGCCCCGCCGCCCTTACCTACGCGGCCCCGCCGCCCTTACCTACGCGGCCCCGCCGCCCTTACGTCGCGGCCCCGCCGCCCTTACGTCACGGCCCCGCCGCCCTCAAGTCGCGGCCCCGCCGCCCGCACGTAGCGGCCCCACCGCCTCACCTTCGCGGCCCCGCCGCCCTCACGTAGCGGCCCCGCCGCCTCACCTTCGTGGCCCCGCCGCCCTCACGTAGCGGCCCCGCCGCCTCACCTTCGCGTCCCCGCCGGTCTCCCCTCCTGCCGAGCCGCCCGAGCAGCCGCCCGCCACGCTGCCCGGTCCCGGAGCAGCCGAGCCGCCCAGCAGCAGCCGCCAAGCCGCAGTTCAGCCGAGCCGCCCAGCAGCAGCCGCCGAGCCGCCGGGCCGCCGACCCACAGTACAGCCGAGCCGCCCAGCAGCCGCCGCCGAGTAGCAGTACCGCCGAGCCGCCCTGCAGCCGAGCCGCACTACTGCCGAGCCGCCCGACCTGCCCTGTCTGGTGAGCACAGCCCCACTGCTACTGCGTGCCCTTCCCCCACTGCTTGCGCTGCTAGTCTGTCGTCATGGCTACCCCTAGTGTCCTCGCTTTTGACGCTGAGGGTCGAGCCATTGACTTTGAGGTCAGGGTCGACGACCTGCAGTTGTTTTTACAGTGCGATAGGGCGGACGGTCTTTCTCTCTTTGACCTCACCTCTGGCGCCTCCCCTGCTCCTGCTACTGATGCTGACCCCACTGTTCGCTCTAAGTGGGCCACCCGCGATGCTGCTGCACGTCTTGCTGTGCGTCGCCACCTGCCTACCACTAAGCGCGCGCACTTTAGTCAGTACAAGAGTGCTCAGACCTTGTACGACGCCGTAGTTGCACGCTACTCTTCCCCTGCCACCGCTGCACTGAGCCGCCTCATGCTACCGTACCTCTTTCCTGACCTTGCTGCCTTTCCTACAGTCGCTGACCTCATCACGCACCTCCGCACTTCTGACACTCGCTACCGCGCTGCACTTCCTGCTGAGTTCTGCGCCAAGAACCCCCCCCCCATGTACATCGCTCTCTATTACATAGTCACTCGCCTCCCTCACTCCCTTCGCGTAGTCAGGGACCACTTCCTCTCAGTCTGTCCCACCACCCTCACTGTCGACCTCCTCGAGAAGGCCCTCCTAGCGGCGGAGAAGAGCATAGTCGCTGTAGGAGCCTCTCGTGGTGACCCGCGCACCCCCATCTTTGAGGGGTGTTCTCCTTCCCCCCTGCTGCCCTCTATTGCCTCTGCTGCTGCTGCCGACCTGCTTGGTCTTGAGTCGGTCGGCGCGGCGTCTGCCCCTAGCGAGAGACGCCGCCCTAGCAAGGGCAAGGGGGGCAAGGGCACGGGTGGAGCTGGCGGGGGCGATGGAGGTGGCGGTGGCGGTGGCGGAGGGAGTGGGGGTGGCAGTGGGAGTGGTGGTGGGGGTGGTGGTGGTGGTGGCGGCAGCGGAGGCGGCGGCGGTGGCGGCGGCGGCGGTGGTAGCGGAGGCGGCGGTGGTGGCGGAGGTGGAGGCGGCGGTGGCGGAGGAGGTGGAGCCGGTCGGGGTAGTGCCCCGCAGCGGAGCGGCTCTGGTGGTGGTCAGCGCCAGCAGCAGCAGCAGCAGCAGCAGCAGCGTTCTCAGGACATCCCCCCGCCTCAGCAGCTCCGTGAGTGGTACACGCAGCGTCAGCGTGGTGGGGGTCTTGGCCCGTGCACCTACGTTCTTCGTTCCGGCGATCGCACGGGTGAGCAGTGTGGGGGTGCCCACTCCACCCAGCGCTGCTTTGGCCGCCTGACGGACGCTTGGCGTCAGCAGTTCCCCGAGGCTAGTGAGATTCCCTGCTGGGGAGAGCTGTCTAGGGCTGGCGTAGCGATCATTGATCTTGACTTTGGTGCTATCCTTGCTGCCATGTATGCTGTGACTATTAGTGATGAGGGTGACTGTTACCGGTGTTTCCCGCCCGACCCGGGCATTGGTACAGCTGCGCTAGGTGCTTGTGAGGCTACTGCTCTAGGTGCCAGTGCGTCTGCACTCTCAGGTACTGGTGAGGCTGCGCTCTCAGGTACTGCGTCGGCTTCGGCCTCTCTCACCTTCACACTTGACTCAGGGGCTTCTCGCTCCTTCTTTCGAGACCGCACCACACTCACGCCGCTTGGTCGGCCGGTTGCAGTCTCCCTGGCTGACCCCTCTGGGGGTCCTGTCCTCGCTCACTTCTCCACTGTCCCCCCGTGTCCGGCTGCCCCCTCGGGCACCCTGTCGTGTCTGTACCTCCCCTCGTTCTCGACGAACTTGGTGAGTGGTGCTGACCTGCAGGATGCGGGGGCTCACCAGTTTAGACCTGCGAGTCAGCGGGGGACCCACTGCTCGGACGCCCTCACAGGCCGACACCTAGCCACGTTTTCGCGTCGGCCCGGGTCGAGTCTCTACACCCTGACCGTTGAGTCTCCTCCAGTCCCTGCGTCTGGTCAGGTAGCTGCGTCGGGTCAGGTGTTTGCTGCAGCGTAAGGGTCTGGTCCTGAGTCTGCCCCCTGCTCGTGTCGCCTCCTGTCTCACGAGACTCTCTTGTGGCACCACCATCTTGGCCACCCCTCCTTGCCTCGTCTTCGGGGCATGGCTTTCCGTGTCCTTGTCTCTGGTCTCCCCCGGTCTCTCCCTCCCCTTCCTTCGGGGCCAGGACCTTCCTATGTCCCCTGTGTCGAGGGGCGGCTCCGGGCTGCCCCTCACTCCTCCCAGTTTCCCCCGACAGAGGCTCCTCTGTAGACGCTTCACATGGACGTGTGGGGC